CAAAGAACTGAATAAGTATGCAAAGAAAGCACATAGATAAAAGCCAATTACTGTTGGTAAGTGACGAATTGGCCAAGGAAAACGTGACTTCGAGTGCAAAAAGGTGGGGTACGACCGCTGTGCCAAATAAAGTAAGTTTTATGAAGAAGGGAACAAAATAAATTACAGTCCGAATTGTCACATGTGTCAAGAGTTCAAACAAATGCTGTAAATACCTGAACCCCAGGAATCGGTTTCGCAAAGAATACGGACAACTCGTCAACGGGATAAGCAGTTGGCTCTGAACAAATTACTTATCGCTCCACACTTTCTCCCAGATTGGGGACTGGGTGGATAATTTCTAGGGCAGTGCGTGTGACAACAAGGAGTACTCACATGTATCAATCCGAAAAAGGGGTGAACTTCAGTAATAATGGCACCTAATACTAAATAAGTAAATATTTTTAACTACTGCACTACAATAAGTAGCAAGGCAAGCAAGCATAACAATCTGCGGGAAGTTATGAAATTTGCCCTTTATAACCAGGATGGCACACGTCTGTGAAAGAACTTACGAACCACTGATATGCGAATTTCGAATCCATAAAATGGCGCGCGTTGATGAATACAGTGCTACAGAGATATAGACGAATGAATAGAAAAAGAATTCGGAGAACTGTTGAAAATTAGAGCACATCTATTGGATCACGATTTAAAAGACAAGTTCCATTCGAAGTTATAGACAGTCGCTGAATCCTCTCACGGTGAAATATAAAGAGCCGTTTGGAAGGGATATATTCTTAGGCACTAGAAATCGTCCTAAGGACAGTCAATCAGGTCTTTGGTAGTATAAAGCCTAAACAAAACCTCTTTTTTTAAAGAAAAAACTAGGAAAGTACTGCTCACATTCTAAAAAATTCTGAGGCTTACGAAACACTTACCCGAATTATTGAATGAGCTTTATCAAAGTAGTGAATATGTCAGTCGGCTGATGTGCGTAACAAGACGCCTATCAACCAAGAGTCTATTTCAAATACATTTAATTTACAAATGAAGATGTACTGAGGTTGTAGTAACAACGGATTCAGGTCAGTCGGATCACAATGGGTCCAAGCATTGTCGCTCAATAAAGAGACTTATTCAGTTATCCGTAGTGTGCAAACGAATTAAAGAGTCGTATTGGGGACAGTCGGCAAAGGTCAAATTATCGATCGAGCCCAAACCGGCAGTGACACTCGGTGGAATGAGGACAGCCAGAGACCACTATTGCCTAAACCTCTTAAATTCTATCGTCCAATCTGCAAGAAAGCCTTCGCTTCCAAAAACAGCCTATAAAATGGGTAAAGAGTTGGCATCAAGAAAAGACCTCTGTGAATGAGACTCACCACACACGGCGCCCTTCCAGCCGCATCCTAGATAGGCAATGCGTCCAGCAACCTGTCTGCCCGCCCACATAGTAGCGGTGCTGACAGCTGCGAAGAGCATCGTAGGCAACCGCGGGGTCAGCAAGCTGAACCTACACACAGGTAGTCGGTTCAATTGCAACAGGTGTGGAAGCTCAGAACGCGGCCCCATCGGACGACCAGTTCTCCGTAAACATACGCATATAATTCGGAGTGGTCAGCAAGGAGGTTTGCCTCGCCATCCTCCAGACTGTCGTTGTCGTCTTCCCTACATTTCACGACAGGAGCACAGCGGTGAGTTCTTCTAGCGATAGTTGTGTATATATATGTATACACGCGCAAGGGCAGCCAACATTGGGCAACGAGATGACAAGGCATGAGCGCTGAGAACCGAGGACGCAACCCCCCTCCCACCCATAGCAAGTGCGGCTGACTCACTAAAAGATACAGACACAAAAACTTGACGAGGATTTGACAGCGGGTGTGTCAAGGACAAGGCAAGCGACATCGCGAAATTATGCAGAAAGTACATGCTTCAGCCATACTATATCGTCACTCCTAGAGGGCAGAAATTTAAACTCGTGTCGCGCAGTGATCGTCTAGGTACGCGAGTCAAGCCCTGTTAGTAAAATCGATGTGTTTGGTTGCACAACCTATCACCCCACACTGCCAACGAACCTACACGAGGATCGCGCGCTGTGTGGTTCATAAATATTCTTTGGCTTTGAGAAAACACTACATCCACAGTCAATAAACGCATCAAGGGAGGCCACTTAGCCGATTGTGTCGATATTCACTGTCCAGGAAGAATCCACATTGAGAAATTTGTGGGAATTTTTTCGGTAGAAGTGACTTGTATGGCAAGCTAAAAAGGTCACAGAAACAGAAATGTATTTATTGCCAGTTTACAGGCAAGGTCAAAAATAAGGTTAATAGGTGAAGCACCTCTTGAGCGTCTTCTATACCCTGGAAGACAGGAAAAAACCTAAAACAAACTCCCTCTTTCGCAGTCAATATTGACTTTGTTTTATTTTTTTGCTTGGTCAATAGAGCGCGAAATAGGGAGTTGGTTTTAAGTGAAAAAACCTGACTTCAATCCTAGGGAAAGATATGTACCGTAATAGATGGAGTTGACGGTTTAGCAGAAAAAAACTGCAGCTCCTTGAGCGATTGAATTTCGGGACGGGGGAGGGTTGATCCAGGAACACAGTGTTCTCAGTCTCCCTTGGGTGTTATGATTTCGAGATTCTGCACCAGAGGAAAGTTTGTGGACGAACGGTTGCTCGCTGGCGGCTGAAGTTTTAGCCGACTGCGGGCTGCCCTATTGTCCTTAGCATGAAGCCTGGCAGGGTTCAAAGTCCACGAACGCTGGTATAGCCCAGTTAGTTCTGCGTCGCCAATTGTTATAGCCAAAGTTTGTTCTCACCCGACTTGTAGGCAGAAGAAGGCAAGAGAGTGATTCTGATATGCAATGGCTTTATTCAACAGCACACAAAGACAGTAGGGCTTGCGGGGTCTACGGGGTCTGCGAGGTTCTTTAGCTTGTCCACTCCGGTTTTCCCAAAATATTCCTAGCGTATAGTGTGCGAGCAGACATTCTAGACTCATCT